GATCTCTTGAACCCCGAGTGCTGTCTATCCTTACTGTCGGGCCCTCTGATGGCATGGATTTTGCCGGACTTCAGCAACTTTTTGGCCACTTCTTTGGCGTCCGTTCCGCTCTCTGATGTCCTTTTGACGGTCTGTTGGATGGGTTGGGGCTCAGGTTTGGGCGCTTTCATGGCCTGCAATGCCTTCTTCTGCGGTCACCACAAGACAAACATTATCACCACAACCGACAAGTCGTGACACAAACCTTTCGTTTCAGTTTCTGATACTTCCTCTGAAGCATCAACTCTTCGTCCGTCAATTGGGTCGGGATCTGAATGAAAACCATTGCCTATGAGTTGATAATTGCTGTGATTTGACACACAATTTACAAATCACTTGACATTCAAAGCAATGTTTTTGTTTACAAATTCATTTCAATGTTTTGAAACCAATGTTTGGAAAAAAGGGCATAAATGTAACAATAACTCAACCAAAATAATGCCTTTTTTGCAAAACATTGGTTGCAATGCTGACATCTATTACTGAACTACTGAATGAAATAAACTTGAGATTTAAGTTTATTTGACATTAAGTTTAGTTGATTTAATTGGTTTGACATTTCCTATTGATATAAGCAATCAAAAAGTTTTGATAAATCGTGACGATTTAAATAGAAATAAATAAATCATTTATTTGTTAACTAAACATTTCTTTTAAATCTAAAACAACATATGAAAAGTTAACTCAATTATTACGGCAATGAAACCTAAATCTCATTGAATGCTATGTCTTGAAATTGTCCCGATATTGAGACAACACTTGCTGTCGGCGCTTAATATTAGCGGTTCTGGTCTTAAGTTTGTCCATTTGTTTGGCGAAAAGGCATTTGNGTCGGCGCTTAATATTAGCGGTTCTGGTCTTAAGTTTGTCCATTTGTTTGGCGAAAAGGCATTTGAGTGTCGGAACCATTTGCGACAATTTATTCAGATCTGACATCCGAACCCTCATATTGTCGAAAGCAATGCCAACCCTATCGTTGAAGTTGTCATTAAAGACCGGAATTCGTGTATATCTTTGACTAAAATGTGTCAAAATAGTGAACTTCGCGTTCATATCTTTGCCCACAGCTATGGCCTCGGATGTGGTGCTGTGGCTCTTGAGTCGCGCCTTATCCACGAGCAGGTCCTCCATCGACGCCTCGTGTATCAACAGATCACAGTTGTGGCCAATTGTGGTGAGCGTAGGGGTGGGCTGTGTGTCGCCTGAATATACAATTTTAAAATTTGGTTCACTTTTTGTGGTAAACGAAAGGCCGTAACTGTCCGCACAGTGCGGCACCAAACAAGTCCTCAACTCATTTAAACGCAATCTATTCAACACTCTGTCATCACTTTCTGTCATAAATTTCTTGATATCAATAATTTCATACAAATGTGTTATCTGTTCCACAAATTCGTTGCAATTCTGGAGCCAATTAATCACTTCCGGCGGTAATATCAGTAACAATGGCTCACGTGTCACAAGTGATCGCTGTTTCAAGAACTGTAGAACTCCTAAGTGATGATCGCCGTGAAGATGACTCACGTAAATGGCTTTCAATTGTTTTAATCGTGAATCACATTCTTTGCCATAAAATCGGGACAACTGTCCAAACGTTCCTTCGCCGCAATCCAATAGTAAAGATGTCTCGGAATCCATGTTAACCCAAATGCCACTCATATTCCGCATTTTGGATGGAACTGAACAACCAGTTCCTAGAAATATCATTTCCGGATAGTCTTGTGTTTTAGTAACTAATTGTGATTCAAGTGAATGGTATTTATTAAGACTTTCCATAAACTTGTTGTTAGAAAAGGTCTCTTCTCTGAAAGCGTTGACATCAATGTCCACAACACACTCGGAATCAAATCCTCTGACATCCGATGGCCTCAAATGATATTTAGATAAAGTTTTTGCATTTGATTGATAAGCTTGTGGTATGTCTTCACTTCGCACACAATCAAGTAATGGAAATATGAATG